ATAAAATCATAGAATATCTCAAGTTGGAAGGGACCCATAAGGATCATCGAGTCCAACTCCCAATGGAGGCAAATTGAATGCTTTTCACAACCAGAAAGAAACAGCTACCTTAGGAAAGACTCCTAGAGTAATTTGGGAAATTATTTTTGTACCTTCTACATTTCAGAAGATGACAGCATTAGAAAAGACAGGTACAGCCTTCTTCTATCAACCTGAAGGTTTCTTATTGACTTTATATTGGTTGTATGTACAGCCTGAAGAATATTGTCTTCTCTCTGGATCACAAGAAATCCATCAGGGAATTCTCAGTATAAGCTTGGTTCTTGTTGCATCATGGATCTTTTCTTCTGAAGTTTGTTACTGAACTCTCCTCGTTACTCTGGTGTTTATATGTAAGGGGCCTTGCCTGAACCAATGACCTCAAGCTCAACATCAAAAGTCTTTTGCTCTGAAGCAGTTCCCAATACTGGATGGCACTCTGATCTTTTAATTTTTGAACTGATTTAGAAAGACGATATGGTAGGAGAAAAAAAAAAAAACACCAACAGAAAGGAGTCCCTAAAATTTAATCTGCTGCAGAAAGCAACCAAAGAAAAAAAAGAGTATCCGTAGGCCAGACAATCAAGCAGATATGCTGTATACGCCAGAAAGGACATTGGTAGACTAAGGATAAGAAATGGCACAACACAGTAAGGGAAAGTGCTCACAACACATGCCAATGTTGCATTGTCCCGTGCAAAGGGATTTCTGTCTATGGAGTTTGTACATTTAGCAGATAGAAAAGCAGTGAATGAAGCTAAAAAGAAAGTAGGCATATAGTAGTTTGTCTAGAGTTTTGGAAATTTATTGCCAGTTCATCCAAGTATACAAAAGTCTACCCTTTCTCTGCAACTATCTCACTAAGTTGACCTTCACCACAAACTTAGCCTCAGCCACCTCTGTTATCACAGTGTAATCACAATCTTTTTCAAATCATCATTTTGGTACTGCAGATATTCAGGTCTGATTTTTAATCACTGACATATTAAGCATCAGCAAAATAGTTTGCTTAGCTGTTCCGTTGGCAATTTTTAAAAAGGAATGAAAACATGTACCTTTTGATTACCTTGTTAAAGTGAGTCATGATGGCATTATAGCAGTGCTCAGTATTTCTGCTGTAATTAAGAATCTGTCATATTTTTCATTAAAACACATTCTTTAAAATGAGACTTTTAACTTGGTCATTTCAATCAGTACCAGCCTGCAGTGTAGCATGCAATGTGCCAACTAGATAAAGAAAATGACACCTCAAATTTGCTTTTGCAAAATGTAAGTATTAAAGTGCCCATAACATCCACAATAATTTATATGTTTTATATGCACATACTCTGTATTTTAACTACAAACTCTTTTTAAAATTAGTTTTTGCAGGTTTTCACCACCGCTCCAAACTGTAAACCATAGTACATAAACATCAGAGCAAAAAGACTGTTTTCAAATAGAAATAAATGGCTAGTTACAAGGCACAAAAGTAAAACTTAAGTTTTTTGTTCTGAATCAAACTTTCTACATTCTGTAAATTAAGTTATTAACATCCTGCAGATGTGAAGCAGAATACGATGTTTTCCAACATTTAAGATTTAGAGGTTTCTTATTAAAAAAAAAAAAGAAAGAATCTAAAAGGTCTTGGGGATTTAACAGGAGCTGAGTGAGAAAAAAGCTTGTACAGAAGAAGACAGTCAACAGGAAAGGAATTGGGGTAAATGCATATTCAGTGTATGACATGGTGTCTAAAATTCTATAGCATCTACTGGTTTGATATGAGACTTAAAATAGGTAATCTAAGACTGAAATTACTGTAAACATTCCCAGTGCATGTGTTTGAAGTAGTAACAATACTGTGCAGAGAATGTCCTTTCTCTTACATACAAATTCTTTTTCCTTTTTTTCTTTGTTGCTGTTTTGTTATTATTTTCATTAATACTGGACCCAGTTTTGGTAGGGCTATTTCCATGATAACGTATTACTTCGTCTAAGAGGCTTTTAATCAAACTTGAGGGCTAAAATGAAATATGTCAGGGTGTCGTATGAAATAGCTCTACCACTCAGGTAGTCAGGGAGGGCATGAAGTCATTGAGAATGACCTGGTCCCAAATCTGACTAGAATCACTTAAATACTAGTTTCATGGAAGAAGCTGGGCAAAAAAGTAGATACTTATAATGTATCACACCTAATTCTTAAAAGAAATCATAGGAAGTAAACAATTTTTACTAGATTTTTTTTTTAGTTGATAAACTAATTGATAAACTAATTAACTATGTAGGTTCAGTAACACACAGATGGGGCTATATCAAGCATCCACAAACCAGAAAATTTATCTTTGTAAAAAATGCAGAACAGGACACTCCTGTCAGCTCCTAACAATCCATACCTATATTATCTCCCATTTTCTTCATTGCTTTTCAACACAGCTTTTCTTCACCTTTACAAATGACATTTTTGAAACTATAAAATGCTCCATGCTGCTCAAACTTTCTTGCTTCAATAGTTTCTCATTGCTGTACAAGTAAATCTACATCCTTTGTTACTAATATACACAAACCTATTGGTATGTGACTTTGACTCCAGGCTGAGAACAGGCTATAAATTTAGAAATCAATATCTAACTCTATCAATATTCATTTTACTTTTTCAATACAAAATACAAAGGTGAAAGAGCAGTAAATAAGCTGGAGTACTGAAATAAATTCGGTGTTCTTGTCACAATTAATAAATGTTTAACCAATAACACTGCTTGCTACAGAAGTCTATGGCTTCGTAAAGTGCCTGAAAGTAGCAGGTGCTACCCTTGTGAGACTTGAAACCAGAGAACGTATTTTGATACTTCATTAGGATCCCCAGTCATTCTCTCCAGTACTACTGAACCTAAACATATAAATGACCATTTTCAACACTGTGCAGAGTGCTACAAGAATTAATTTACCAATGCAATTTATTAAAAAAATGCAGATGAGAATTTCAAAAATACTGTTTTCAATGGATTCACTTGTATTAGCGAAACTTTGCTAAGTTGCAGCTCAAGAAAATGTTTGCAGTTAATGACTCATTTACAGACAGCCTTTCAGATTTTACTATGATGTTAAATATGGATGATTATTAGCAGAATGCTTCTTTTCATTTCCAACTTTTCTTCATGTAAATATACAACTTTTGTCCTTTCTTTCAAGAAGAAAGTTTAAAAATTCTTCTACTGAAAATCTAGCCCTTCCGTTCCTGTGTCTTAGCTAACTAAAACTATTGAAAGGAGAATAATCAAATAGTGATCTTTCATTTTAATCCATATTTCCAAATGTATTTCCATTTTAAAAGGAATCTCTGTTTTTTCATAAAATGGTACGAGATACTGAGAAACAAAAAAGGCCTGTGATGGATAAGCAATAATTTAGCTGTGGGAAGGTTAGCCTTTGAGAAAACTGTAATAATTTATAAAATTTTATACATTATCTACACATATGTACAAGTTTACTCAGTTTACCAAAGTTTCTATTTGCTTAAAAATTCACAATGATGAAATGCAGAAAAAAACCTTTTATAAGACCACAGAAAAAATTCTCAATCCTCCTGCCGAGAACGAAATTGAAAAGATTACCTTGAACTTGAAGAGAAAAAAACCACACATTAGTTAAAAGGTACCTCATATGATACCTTTATCCACCATTATTCTCTGTCGCTCTCCATGCAAAGGCAAATTCTGGGGGCAAAACAATCTCTAAAATTGTGAATATATAGATATGTAACACTGAATGATCACATAATATATTTGCTTTAGTATCAAAATATTGGCTTTGCAAAGTTATGCAGAGGAGCTGGCTTGTAAAATAAAATACTGAACGCTGAAAGCCCAAGGTAAAATGAATAATAAAATGAATTTCATGATATTTCATACCCTCTCAGTACAAAATGACATCCTCTAGTACTTGAAAGTTGTGAAGTGAAAATCACCTTGTAGAAATAATTATATTATTCTCTCTTCAGCCATTAAGTATTTTTCTTTCTCACTTCACATATGTTCAGAGTCTTAGAAGCTGACCTATACATTCTCTTTTTCCATACTGCTGCCACTAAGGTGCTTTAATAACATTTTCAATATTATTCTTGGTCTGTTTCTGCCACTGAGGTTTGAAACAAAGAAGTTTCAGGAGGGGGAATTCAGCTGGAATACAAATATTAGGCTTCTCTACAGACACCTATTTAGAATATATTTGAAGAACTCTTGTGTGTTGCATATGTTGCTATAGTAATTGATATATGACTAGGACATGCAATCGAGATTTCTGTATTAGCAATACATAAAAAGCCTCACACAGGCACACACACAATCTAATCCTTCCAGTATGCACATATATAATTAATACAACAAACTGATGAGAGTCCTATAAATCACTGCTAACTACTGAAAAAGTTATTTCACAGCTGTGACATCAGCAAAATGCATCCAATGGCTGTGACCTCGCATCTGTAAAATCTTTCAGAAATGTGCTTTCAAGTGCTTCCTATTTAATCTACAGCACTAATTTTAAAGCTGTGTTTCACAGCCTTATTGTCACATTTTCAATTGTTTACCCAAGAATTCACATTGTATCTTTATTTTTCAGGATATTTATAGTATTCATATGCATTCCTCACAAAAAAAGATACCTCAAGTCTTCTACCTTGTAATGCTTGAACAGACATAAGCAGTAATCTTTACTGTCTATGATTCTCAGTATATGAAAAAAAATTTATCCTCTTTAAAGAAGTGCCATGCTACAAAGGACTAGAAATTGGAAATGTTTGAGGGAGAATTAAGAGAGCCTATTTATTTCTTAATCTCTATTAATAAATAAGGATAGCACATATCTGAAGTCATATAGAAAGTTACTAAATTTATCAAGCATTTCCCCAGGTCACTGACCTACTGCTTTATATTTAGAGATTTAACATCTTGTGTTCTGTGTTCTGTCCCAGGGAAATTGGTTACCTGTGGGTCCTGGCAGGGGAGCAGCTTTCCTTCTCCGTTTGATGTCTCCCATGCACAATGATCCTAAATGTACACTGGTTTGCCTGCAAGTAATTATAGAAGAAAACTATTAACAAAGGAAGAAAACCACCACATAAATGCACAGCTTGTATAATCTGAACCTATATCAAAACATTCTCAACCAAGATGAAGCTGCACAGTCAAGCCACCAATCTTGTTTATATCGAAGCATAATTATGTTTGTTGACAAGCGCTCAGTTATCTAAATACAGCATCATAAATTGTTACTGGAATGAATAATATAAAGGGAATGCTTTTTAATTTTCAAAACTGGCAATCTTTCTAGTTCAACATAAAACAAAAACACTGTTGCTCCTGACAGGAAAATAGCTAAGATTAATTATCTAAAGAGATCACAATACTGTTGGTAGGTTATCAATTGGCTAGTAACGCCTGACTGTCAGAACAACATTTATTACATGAAAAGTACTATCAATTTTTTTTTTAAGGTAAGATGAAGAATGAATGAGAAAACATGAAACAGTAAACTCTTGAAAGGTACATGAAATAAACTTGTAGCACACCAATTTGTCCTCTTCTAATTCACTGGCAAGTTGGGAGAATGATAACACAGAAGCACAGTATCTGGTATACTCATTAAACAATTATGAGCTTACACTTGGAGACTGGAAAATTGGTGGAGCTGCAGAGGATGGCAAACAAGCAAATCTTATTGCATTAAAGCCAGCTATTAGAAGCCAGATACCACAGAAAAGGGTGAATTTGGAATTTCCAAATATTGAATTTTGGAATATAATCTTAAAGGACAATTATAGCTATTAGTTTTCCTAAAGTAATGTACAGTGCCTGTAGAATGGAATATATGTAGCCGGGATTTTTTTGGAATGAACTACAACAGAAGGGGAGGAAAAAGCAGTAATTTCTCAACTCCACAATTTTAATACGTCTCCATAAATGTTACTGAGAACTGTGATTCTTACCACAGTAGTGTAGTGAATTTTGCCAAAATTACAAGCTGAGAATTGCTTCTGATAGTCTACTGTAGCATAGTAACACTGTCACTCACAGGATCTGGTTTCAGTGTGGATATATGACTTATCCTTTACTGCATTTATAAACTTTTTAAAGCTGTGCTGCTTCTAAATGAATAACAAATGGTCATATAATGTTGAGAGACCTCAGATCTGCTCAATAATGTAAAAGAGTGACAACAACGCTTTGATGAAAAAGATGACAATGTACAATCCTCTACACACTTCTTTTAAAAAGATACAGTAAATTAACAAGTACTACAGTGCTTTAACTTAAATAGTAAAATATTCTAAGAAATTCAAGTTTCACACTGAAGTGAACTCTAGCTTCACCTAGTGCACCCCTATTTCAACACTAATTTAATTCTCTTTGCTTTAAAACAGATGTTTTCCTTGTAATTCTTCTAAGTTGAAATTGCATCCTATTTTAACATCCAGAAACCGAACACAGTTGAAGTAGTATATTAACAGGGTGATAAATTTCAGTTCTAAATTTAGAAAGACATCAAGAAGTGTAACCCTTTCATAACTGATTGCACAATTATTAGAGACAAAATATTGAAGAGATGTATATAACATTGATATTAAACACGCAGAATAAGTAGTGTGGTAAATTATATGTTAAACAGTGTGTAACTCTCAGTTTTCTCTTCTGAATGAAAAAGCGAGAAAGTCACCAGGAATATAAGTAGGATGAAAGATAAAAATTAATAAAGTCAGGCAATTGAACCTGAAGACCTGAGCCACAGCAGTAACAGCTGGCAGCGTTTGAGTTATTTTACCCAGAATTGATTATCTGTTACACTACATTGAGATATCTAGATTATTGATCTGTAAGATTATGGTACTGGGGTCTCCCCACTTTTCCTCCAGGCACACCGAATGGAGTTGCAACAAATAACACTAAGTAAGGACTACTTTGTTATTGTTGTCACCCTTCATGTAGAACATAGCAGTTACTTTTTAATTTAAAATCAATGAACGTCTGAAAGGCAGCCTTGTTCCTTCAGCATAAATGAATCATTCGCCTTTGCCGAGCACAACAACCTGACCACCAGCCAAGGTGAGAGTGGGTATTTCTTTGTTGTCGTTGAAAATTCTGTATACCACAAATAAACAGCAATATGCTAGAGCACCAATTAAGCTTTGTCAAACCCAGTTTTATGGCCACTAACATCAAACATTAAGCTAACTCGCGATTCTAAAGCAGCATTTACTTTTGCCAGGTCTTAACATTTGATACGCATTGTCAATGTAGATCACAGCAAAACAAAAAGCCTTTTTTTTTTTTTTTTCCTTCTTTTTTTAAGGGAAACAGCCAAGAACTATCACTGCTCTGGCAGGTTAGAGACAAAATAAAGTATTATTCTGAAGCTGCACAGTACATTTTGAAATGCTTGTAATGGGGGTATTATAAAGTGGGGAGAACTCTGACCCTCAATCAGGCTAAGTTCAGCATTATGTTTCTTAGCATTAAATCAGAAAAGTGCAGATTACAGAAGGGAAGAAAGCTATTTGCCTGACTTCTCTCTACTTACCCCTAGCTTGCTTCCAGCTATCATTTATAAATAGTGCTCTGGAGGGAAGCTAGGCATTTTATTAGGGAAAAAATAAAACTTGTTAAGACCACCTTGCCTGAAAACTTGGCTTTTGACGTGCTGGTGACAGGGACTGGAGCAAGCAGTGTCAAATGGAATAATTTTTAAGGAAAGACAACAGGAACTTGTCGCCTCATTGTATGCATTTACAAATAGAGGCTTTTCAGAGTATTAGGCCTAGTTAAAGCTGCCCTCTGGATAAAAAGTGTTCCCGAGCAGCCTCAGACAAGCTTGGGAGACAAACAGATGTGACTATGGTCCCTGGCGTTTGGCAAGAACACTCACTGTCAATAAGAAAAATATGAGCATGGACAGGGCATCAGCTGCACCACGGCCGAGCAGGCCTGCAAGTGTCATAGCAGCGGCAAAGTTGTGGCAGAGGGAAATAAGAGGGCTGCAAAAGCCAGGCTGGTGTGAACTTACACTAGCATGCCAAGATTTTTTTTTTGTTGTTGTTGTGTCATGCCTCAATGTATTAAACAAAAACACTGGAAAAGCCACTGTCAATTTTTATTCATTTTTCATCTCGCTTACTGCGCTTAGATTCTCCATTCTATGTGGTAAATAAAAGCCTCAAAAATGAAGAGAGACCGGGAAAGGCAGAACCACAAAAAAGCTATTGAAATAATAAATAAACACAATAAAAAGTACTTTTGATACAGAAAATACTTTTATAGAAGCAGTGACACGTAAAGCAATTCACAAGCATCTATGCATTCTGGTGACAAACATTCACTCAGAAATTTTGTTATCTCCTCCTTAAAATAGCTGCAGTCTCCCCACCATTTCCTTCTTCAAGGTAATTGCCCTTACTACGGTAGTATGCCTAGAATTGTCTCTTTCAATTCCCCAAACGTTTCTATCCATGCCTACACAACACAACCTCTTTTTCTGTAATTTTCATAGCTCAATACACAAGTATTTTTGATAAGTACCTTTTCTGCAGTTACACACATTCACCTCTCCAAGACACAGGCTATGTCAGATTTTTATCTACCCTGACCTTTGTGGTCAATGGATCATTTGGTTACATTCCCCAAATAAACGTTTCTTCTGTAGGGGAACCTACAGCTGCACTACTTTAATTGCAATCCACTCTCTGAGCAACGGAGCACCCAAAGTGGTTCATAACTCTTTCACTAGTAGTTACCACCTTTGCTGCTACTGAAGCTAGAAGTTCGCTGGTCAAAGTCACTGAGAAGGATAACACAATATAAACTGGGTGTAGGACACCAGATAGTCCCGAACACGAGTTCCACCTCTCTGGTTTATTACATGATTCTCTAATCATTATCATATCAAGTGTAAAAAAAAAAAAAACCAACAACCCAAAAAAACGCAATCCACCCCCCCAACCAAAATGCAAAACAAGCCCTCTCCCCAGAATTAGAAAACTCTCTTCAAATTCAGTAATTGTTCCAGTCCCTTCAGAAAGACACGATGAAGACAGTGTTATATAGCAGGTACCTTCACACGCATTAGTACAATGGCCTAAACTAGCAAGACTGTCATCTCATGTGGGGCAACTCTGGGTACTAGTTTATTAAATACAAAATGTTTGCGTGTTTATTTTATGTTTCATTGTAACAACACATCTGTTGATCACTTTACTCTGTCTGGCTGCTGTTAGCAGCTGTCACTTTCTGTGCAAGCTGCAGTGCTTTATTTGATATCAGCGCAGTTGCTTTTGTTGGTGCACTGTAATTGTGACGATGGTTACAACATCATTGAAGGCAAACTTCATTTTGTCCCTTAGTGTATTTACTGTCAAACCATTTACCAGACAATGACATTGCTAAGATTACTTGTAAGTAACGGAGGTGATGGTTTTATGTTCTGCTTGTGTCAAAAATGAATAAAAGTACTGATTAGTAACAAAGGCAGATGTGGTAGATTGTATTTTTTGTTTAACAGTATTTAAGAAAAATATCTGTACTCTAACTTGGAAAAATCCTATGCTGCATACTATTACGATGCAATAACGTTTTCAAGAAGCCTGATTTCTAGATCACAATTAGATGAATCGGTAATGATCAATACTTGCCTACCCATTATATTCCAATTAACATCTTTCTCACCTGAGCAACAAATCCACAGTAAATAGTGGCACACCGTTCTGCCACAGTATCAATGCATTCCTTTTTTGCAAGTTTATCACCACCGAATGCTTCAGCTAATGTAGAGGCTTGATGAAAGTTTGTAAGTGAACTTCTTTCACAGGAGATTACAATAAGCAAGAGTTGACTGGCGTGCATTTAGAAGGGACTTGAGAGAATTATTTTGAAGGGGAAATCTAATTGATACTGTCAGTCCTCAGTCTTAAAATATAGGTACAAAATAGATATGAATATGGATATGTTTGAAGAGAGAATGCAGTGAGGACCACGACTCACTTTAAGTTTGAAATGACTGGACAATTTCTCATAGACTGAA